ACTTATAAAGACTCTCAGAATGTTTTAATTGAATAACCTGAGACTTTTGGAGACTTATTAAAAATCATTAAGAAGGGTGTATTCAATTGAGATTTTTAAGGACTTTTTAAAACTTTTTAAATTTGATGACTTTTGTGGACTTTGTAGAACTTTCATGACTTTGGTGGACTTTTTGAGACTTTGAGAGAATTTTCATTAGTGACTTTTCAAGACTTTCATAATGGACTTTTTAGAACTTATTGAGACTTTTATATACTTGCAGTTATAATATTATGTTTGAATAAAATATTAATAAACGTAACATAATAAGCAATATAAACAAGAATTAATGAAAAAAAGATGTTGTATATATTAATCCTCTAAATTTTATGCGAAATGAGTTATTCACGAACAAATTGTTTAGGATTTTAAATTTATTAAACGAGTAAATCGATCAGCTTCAACGAGTCGAATTGAGCAGGGCCTTATATTTGTTTGTTAAAAGAGTACAAGCTCAAATATGTGCTAGATATCTCTGCTATAATGACACTTATAATCAACTCAGATTAAGATATATTTATTTAATTACTAATTGATTTTATTCAATATTTTTTTGCATAATGTTGTTATACTAGAAAAATATTATTAGTATATATTTTTACAAGATACAAACATTGCCAAAGAACAGTAATTGTATCTTATAAAATTATCAAAAATATTCAAAACATTTCAATATTATCAAATAAACTATTAGAAAATAAAATATTTTTTTAATATTTTGAAATAAACATTTACAAATAAAAAGAAAAAATAAATAAAGTATTTGCAAGTGCAACTATGGAAGCATTAACCTTTGAAAAGTCAAATTCACAAGATAGCAAAATGAGAGAATAAATGTATACACACATAAAATAAGCATAATAAAGAATATATAAAATAAAAAGATCACATTACGTAATGAAAATAAAAATTACACAAGGTATCAAAATAAATAAGTAATAATAGAGCATGAAAATGATATGAGATACAAAGTCATGTTAGAAAGAAAAAAAAAACGAAAGAGAGCGTGAAAGAGTCACATAAGTCCAGCAAAATCTCATCAATATTGATGAGATTTATGTTGAGACTTTTCCTTTACAATTTTGTTACAAAAGTCTCTAAAAGTCTCAAAATTTAAAAAGTCTCACAAAGTCATTCTGTTTTGAATACCGGGTGACTTATAAAGACTCTCAGAATGTTTTAATTGAAT